CACCCCACCTCTCCCCGCCCCCACCCCCCAACTCAACCAGGCGTGGTGGATCTCCTGATCTGGGGCAATGTGAGTGGCTGCCACTACATTGACGTCACCAAGTGCCGTGTGCACAACTACGATGGCGCTGTCTGGGGACCCTACTGGTGAGTGAGTGAGTGAGTGAGTGAGTGAGGGAGGGAGTGAGTGAGTGAAGGCCTGTCACTGTCCTACATGATCCTCATCACGATACACTTCCATCATCATCATCATCATCTTCATCCTGTGCCAGATCTGCAACAGACATTGGCGATCATGGTTGCTCTAAAAAAAGCTATGTTTCCTTGATCTTTCCCTGTTACCCATTTGTTTAGATTCCCTAAGTATGTGTGTGTGTGTCCGTGTGTCTGCATGAATACATGCATGCATGTGTGTGTGTGTGTGTGTGTGTGTGTTTGTGTGTGTGTGTGCACATGTGTGAGCAAACTCCCACAACTTATGTACTTCATAAATAAGCATGTCCCTGTCCCCAGGTATTCGGTTGACGCTGTGGAGATGATTCACGAGAACAAATGGATCCTCAAAGAATTCCCCGGTCTTGTGGACAGCCGCAATGAGAAGGTTAGTTCCTTTTAACCCTTCAAGCCCCAGCCATTTTTGTGCACTCCCTAACCCCAGTCCCAGCCAATACAGCCGTATTTCAGAAAAAGAGACATGCATTCTATAAAGTGATGTAGTATCTTTGTAGTGAGGTTTAGATAACAATATATAACATAACAATGCGTATCTCCATTTTTTTAAACAGTGAATATGTGACTTCTTCTTAAGCTCACTCTTTTGTTACGAACTGTTTTCACGGTTGTTAGAAATTGAGATACAACAAGAAAGCACTGGGGTCACGATCATCATTTCCTTTCTCACCCTGGATCAGGATATAGGCCACGTACAAACACTTAATTTCCACCTTTCCCTATCCTGGGCGAGTTGCTTGATGTCACTCCACGTCTTCCCACTTTTCTGTACATCCATTCTCCTGGTTCCTCGTGGTCTTCATCTTGATCTTTTACCCTCCTGTGGGTTCCAATCTTACGGCGCTTGCTACTCAAATTATAAGCTATATAAGTGCTGAAGATTAGAGGCATTTACTGAGGAGTAACATACTACGAAAAGAAGGAAAAAAGAAAAGGTAAATTTAAGAGAGTACGAAACTGCCTTTCAAAATATAAAAAAATCAAAATTTTAGGTTTAGTACATAACATTATTATGAATAGCTGGCTGATGGTACTTGTACTTTATATGTGAGACATCGTGGTGAAATCAGGCACTCGTTAAAATAATGAAATTGAAGAAAACAGCATTTTTCTAGATCTACCGGTTTGGCAATTTTGATCAAATTTTTTTTTTTTTGCCTCAACACGTTTTGTGTCTATATAAAAAGAAATTTATGGCTTTTAAAAAAAATTGAAAAGCGTTGATTAAAGGCGCAAAAAAGGTAAATTTTCATTTCCCAAGGACTCTCAAGTTACGGAAATTGCCAAACTTTGATTGCCATTTACTCGATAAATCTACCTCCGAAATCAGGAGACCCCCCACTTTCTTTAATCAGAAATATCTCGACTTCTATTCAAGTTAGATGGGTATTTTTTCATCGAACACAAGAGAAATAAATAAGCTTTTAAGATGAATCCATTTATTCAGCATGCCCAAAAATTGATGAGCGCCTGATTCAACCGTGTTCAGACACCTAGTAATTAGTTAGCTGCTGGCTGTCATTTATTCTCTCACCTTGTCTATCTATTTCACAAGTTTCCAAGGAACACTTTCCCCTGTTTGGATTGGATTTGTTATAGAATTACATGTACTTACTGTTCTGTCTTGTTTTGTGTGTTCGTCAGTGTACCTGACCTTTGTAGCCTCAGCATTGCTGTAAACGGCCGAGACAAATTTCTCCCCGAGAGATGGATAAGGATAGACAGACAATTTGTTACAATGAGTTACTTCTCGCATTCCACAAATGGAGATATTTGCCGAAAATCGACACTAGGGTCAAATTTGTAGATTTTTCTATTGATGCCATCCTTTAGTATAACCTGTCTTTTATTATTTCATACTTATAAATTGTAAAAACTTCAGCTACAAGTGTGATGTATCTATTTCCTTAAGGCTTGAATCCGAGAAGTTAACTCTTTTTGTCGGCACGCTTCACATTTGATTGTCAGATTCATTGTGATTGTGATTCGGATATTGATTGTGAGTATGATTGTGATGGTGATAGTGATGCTGATAATGATGATTGTGATGGTGATTGTGATTGTGTTTGTGATGATGATTGTGATTGTGATGATGATTGTGATTGTGATAATTGTGAGTGTGATGATGATTGTAATGGTAATTGTGATTGTGATGATAATGATGATGATGCTGATGATGATTGTGAGGATGATTGTGATTGTGATTGTGATGGTGATTGTGAAGATGATGGTGAATGTGTTTGTGATGGTAATTGTGATTGTGATAATGATTGTGATCGTGATTATTGTGATTGTGACTTGGTGGTTCCCAGGTAGCGGGCGCCATGCAGCGGTCCACCAGCCTCAGCTCAGCCAATGCCCTAGCCTCGACACTCAAGCACTGGTGCCGCGGCTCCCCGTCCGGACAGATGTTTTCCCTCGGAGTCTACTCTGAAGGTCTTCACTTAACCTTAGACTTACTGTGGGTGGTTGGCAGGTGCTCTGGTGTGGTTGGAAAACCCCCCCACAAAAAACAATGATTGAAAAAGAGTCTATTTCTCGAAATTGATGTGAAGGAAAAAAAGAAGTTTTGTCCGCTTACAGCAGTACAATGCTGTAGTGTCCCATTTAACATTTTGCGAACTAGTTGAATTTACAGGTTTCTTTTGAAATTGTAAACATGGTGAAATGGTGTTGATTTGAGGCCCTTATGAAGGCTGTTAGTTTGTTTAAGAGGCGGGACCACCCAGTTTAACCCTTACAGCCCCAGCCATTTTGTACACTTTGTAACCCCAGTCCCAGCCAATACAGCTGCAATATTTCAGAAAAAGAGGCATGCATTCTAAAAAGTGATGTAGTATTTTTGTAATGAGGTTTAGATAATAACAAATAAAAATGTTTTTAGATAAATGAACAAATATTCTGAAAATTAAAGTTTGATTAAGTTTGCTAATTTGGAAAAATGCGCAAATTCGGTACGCCCAGAAACTGAGAATATTCGCTCTTGGGATGGTGGGAGGTACAAGCGCTGCTGAAAATATACGCGCATGGGGCTGGAAGTGTTAATGTTCTTCTCCGAAATGACCATACCAAAAGTGGGAAATTTGTGTAATGTGCCTTTCCCGAGGACACAACGTGGGACTGAGCCTATACTCGAACCCCTGAACGGGTCCGGTAGCCTAACCACTTCTTTTAAAATTTTGAAAATTGAGAATTGCGTTGTGAGGCATCATGGTGAAATCAGACACTCGTCGAAATGATGAAATCGAAGAAACCGACTTTTTTCCGCATGTTTTACAATTTTTATAAAATATCCTTGATATAATTTTTTATTTTCTGTACTCCTATTATTTCCATTAAAAAAACACATTTCTATGTGGATATTACAGAAAACCGGTGATTAAAGGCACAAAAAATGTAAATTTTCAGTTTCCAAGGACTCTCATTCTATTGAAGTCAAATAACTCTGGCGATCATTTTCTCACTGATTTTTTCCTCTGAAATCAGGCGAACTCCACCTCCTTCAATCACAAATATCTCGACTTCTATTCATGACCGATAGATATTTTATTCATCCAGAACCATGGCAAATAGGCAGGCTTTAAGATGATACCAATATCTCCATTTGCCCGGGAATTGACGAGCGCCTGATTCCAGTGTCGCGGCACCATTGATAAGTAAATCTGTCAGTTGATAGAATCATGAAATATCAGGTAATCAGTCTATCCATCAGTAGGCCAGTAAGTCAATTATGCAATCCATCCATCTATCCATGTGTCCATCCAAGTATCAATCCATGCATCAACCCATGAATCAATCCATGCATAAATCCATCCATCAATCCGTCCATCAATACGTGTGTATATCAATCCATACATCAATCCATCCCCCATTCCATACAGCAATCCATCTATCATCCCATCAATCCATCCATCATTCAATCAATTAATCCATCCATCCATCTGTCACCAGGATGGTACGGTGTCCCCCGCGGTCTGTTTTTCTCCTTCTCCGCGACCATGGACCAATCCATCCATTAATCCATCAATCCATGCCTTCCATCAATCAATCCATTAATCCATCCATCCGTCCATCACCAGGATGGTACGGCGTCCCCCGTGGTCTGTTCTTCTCCTTCCCTGTGACCATGGACCCCAAGGGCTACTGGCACGTGGTCCAGGACAGCGAGCTCACCCCAGAGGTCAAGGAGGGCATTGTCAAGGCTGTGGAGGTGAGACCTCTACTGTGTGAAGCATCGTGGTCAAATCAGGCGCTCGCCAAAATAACGAAATCCGAGAAATCTGCATTTTTTTCGGCCTGTTTGGGAATTTTTATCATATTTTTGTTTTTTGGCTCAACACCTTTCCTGCTCTTTAAAGAGAACATTTCTTTTTGTGTGGATTTTGCTGAAAAATGTTGATTCAAGGCATAAAAGATGGAAATTTTTAGTTTCCATGGGCTGTCTAGCTAAGGAAATAACTCATCTTTAGCAGTCATTTTCTCGCTAATCTTACCTCTGAAACCAGGCGACCCCCTACCTCCTTTAATCGCCAATATCTTGACTTGTATGTGAGATAAATGAAGTTTTTAATTTTTTCATCGAAAGCTAGGAAAATGGACAGGCTTTAAGATGATTCCAATAACTCTGCATGCGCCAAAATTGACGAGTGCCTGTTTCCACCGCATCCTGACACATTATGTGAAGCATGCTGACAAAATGAGTCACTTTTCGGATTCAAGCCTTAAGGAAATAGATAGGCCCTACCTCATGCTTGTAGGTGAAATTTTTACTATTTCAAAGTATGAAATAATAAAAGACAGGTTACAGTTAAAGAATGGCATCAATAGAAAATCTACAAATTTGACCCTAATGTCTATTTTTGGACAATATCTTCCTTTGTGAGGCATCGTTGAGAAATCAGGCGCTCATCAAAATAAAAAAATTGGAGAAACAGGCATTTTGCCACTAGTTTCACAATTTTAATCAAATTTGTTGTTTTTTGTTCAACCTTTTTATGTTCAAATAAAAACACACTTCTATATGTGAATTGTATTGAAAAGCGTTGATTTAAAGCTCAAAATAGGCAATTTTCAATTTTCAAGTACTCTTTAGCTATTGAAGTTACCAAACTTTGTGGGCCATTTTCTCATTATATTTACTGCTGAAACCAAGTGGACTTGCCTCTTTCAATCACAAATATCTTCACTTCTGCTCTAGATAGATGGGTAGGCCTATTTATTTCATCAATCGCAAGATAAGTGAACAAGCTTTAAAAGATGATACCAATAACTCCACAAAAATTGACGAGCGCCTGATTCCACCGCGTCGTGACACATTTGTAGATTGCGAGAGGTAACTTCTTTTGTCTGCTCTCTTTTTCTTTTTTCTTCTCTTTTTTCATCTTCTTTCGCTGTTAAGGGTCGAGGGGAGATGCAGATTTCCCATTGTAGACCAGCTCCGCCGCCCTTTCGGTTGTGATGTTATGTTTTCTTAGGGTTTCCTTGACACCCTCGATCCACCTTTTGCGCGGCCTTCCTTTTCCTTTATAGCCTGAGTGCTTGGTGTTGTAGGCTCTCGAGGCTGGCTGGTCAGGTGACATGCGTAACAGGTGTCCAAATCAGTTTATCCTCTGTCTTTCTATGTAAGGCAGACAGGACTCGGTGCCGATAGCTGCTCTTACTATTTTGTCAGCACGCCTCTCATATTGTTTACGTCGCTACACGCTGGAACGAGGCGCTCCTAAAATTTTGGGCATAATAATAGACCTAATATAGAGTTATTGGTATTATCTTAAAGCTTATTCATTTGCCTTAAATTGCTTGTGTTGAAAAGAAAAAAAAATGTACCCATCTACGTTGAATAGAAGTCTAGAAATCTAGAAGTTTATGGTTGAAGGAGATGGGGTACGTTTGCCTGGCCTCAGTGGTAAAATTAGCGCTATAATGACTGCAAAAGTTTGGTGACTTCTATAAAGCCTGAGCAGTCCTTGAAAACTGCAAAAATCAATAATTTTTATGCCTTTGAAAATTTTTATTTTGTTTGCCTTACTTTAATCAACATTTTTCAGTAAAATCCACACAGAAATGTGTTTTTAAATAGATATAAAAGTCATTGAGCTGTAAAAAAAAAATTTGAAAAAAAAAATTGCCAAATTCCCTCAAAAAACATGCCAGTTTCTTGGATTTCATTATTTTGATGAATGCCTGACATCACCACGATGCCTCACAAATGTCACAGGTGAATGTTTCCTGGGAAAGCTGAAAGCATTCCAGAGTGTTCTAGTATTCTAGTCTGCTGAGGTAATTCTAATAGTTGTCATGAAGCATAAGAGCATTCGGTAGAGCAATAAATGTGCAATTATTATTATTATTTTTATGATGATGATGATGATGATGATGATGATGATGATGATGATGATGATGATGATGATGATTATTATTAATATTATCATTATTATTATTGTTATTATTATTATTATTATTATAGTAATTATTATTATTATTATTATTATTATTATTATTATTATTATAGGAATTATTATTAATATTATTATTACTATGATTTTTATTATTATAATGGTTATTGTTATTGTTATTATTATTGCTATTGTTATTATTATTAGACCTATTGTTATTATTGTAATTATTATTATCATCATTATGATTTTTATTAATATTATTACTATCATTATTATAATAAATTGTTAGATGTACTGTGTGAAAAAACTTCCCTGTGTTTGGAAGAAGACTTGATATTGATTCAATGCCTCAGTTGTTTTTATTTTATTTTATTTTTTGTTTGTTTCTGTTTTCAGGATCTGGTGAGAGAGGAGAAAATCTTCACCGGAGAAGTCAAAGGTCAGGCAAAGGGAATAGGGATGAAGAAAAGAAAGCAAAAGAAAACTTAAGATGATGATGAAGAAGAAGAAAAGGACTGAATGAAAAAAAAAAAAAAGACGAGGGCTAATTGGCTAATTGTGAAAATTCTGAAGGGATAAAAGAAGAAGAAGACTGAAGATGATTATGACTCCATTGCAAAAAGAATTGAATGGAACTCCCCCCTCCAAAAAAACACACCAAAAAAAAACAAAAACAAATCCAAAACAATAAATAAAATAAAAACACAAAAAAAACCCAACGACAACAAACATCAATATTTTCTGACAACACAAGGAAAATCGGAAGAGAAGATTGATGGTTGTGAAAACCCTGAAGGAAAAGGATAACCTGTAGGCCTAAAGAAACACCCTCTGATGATAATGAAAGCACGGAAGCAAAGAAAGGAAAAGAATTAACGATAATAAAGACGTTCAAGAAAGGAAGAAACCAGAGAAGGTGATTGATTATGAAAATAGTGATGAAACAGAATGGACTGAAGAGAAAACTCCTTTATCTGTCCCCGGGGTTTTATTCACCCCGCTTAATTTAGCAAAATTTGAATATTTTTTGCATAATTTCTGATTATTTTCCGTTATCCTTTTTTGTTAAAATTAACTGAATCGCATAATTTCACATTTTTAGGCTCATTTTGCATAATTTCATAATTTTTCCAGCCTAAAACAACGGGGACAGCTTTATGCTTTTGTGATGGCTCCTATAAAAGTTCAGTTCTTGAGGAAATGTTATTAAAAATAAAAAATGTGTCCCTCTATTTCTGTAGTGGATCCTGAGAAGTTATCCATCTCTATTTATGTTCCTGTCAATAGTCAATAGACGGACTGTGGAGTTTGTGTCACCACGCTACGGACGTGGAATCAGGAGCTCGTCAATTGTTGTGCATGTAGAGTTATTGGTGTCATCTTAAAGCTTGTTCACTTGTCTTTATGTAGATGAAAAAATATCCATTTATCTTGAATACAAGTCGAGATATTTGCGAAAGAAGGAGGTGGGGGTCACCTGTTTTCAGAGGTAAAATTAGTGAGAAAATGGCCGCCAAAGAGTAGTTATTTCCTTAGCTTAAGAGTCCTGGGTAACTGAAAATTTACATTTTTGAGCCTTTAATCAACGCTTTCCAGAAAAATCCACAAAGAAATGAGTTCTTTAATGGGCATGAAAGGTGTTGGGCCAAAAAACAAAAATTTGATAAAAATTCACAAACCTGCGGATAAATGCAAGTTTCTTCACTTTGATTATTTTGACGAGACCCTGGTTTCACCTCGCTGCCTCACAAATGATTACTTTATTTAAATTTGTCCTTCCATTTCTGTACTGGATCCTGAGAATTTAGCCATCTCTGTTTGTGTTCCTTTCTATAGACGGACTGTGAGGTTTGTGTCTCCATGCTGTGGGAGAAATTAGGCGCTCGTCAAAATAATGAAATCGAAGAAAACAGCAGTTTATTCTCCCTGCTTAGCAATTTTTATCAAATTTTTGTTTTTGGGCTCAACGCCTTTTATGTCCATTTACAAACACATTCCTTTGAGGATTTTACTGAAAACGTTGATTAAATGGACAAAAAATATAAATTTACACTTTCCAGCTTTGGAATTTACCCAGCTTTGGCGGCCATTTTCTCACTTATTTTTTTACCTCTTAAACCAGGTGACCCCCTCCTCCTTCAATCCAAAATATCTCCACTTCTATTGAAGATGGAAGGGTAATTTTTTCATTGAAAGCAAGACAAACGAGCAAGCTGTACGATGATACCAATAACTCAATATGCCCAAAAGTTGACGAGAGCCTGATTCCACCACGTTGCCTCACAATTGTTGGGCATATGGAGTCATATTATCTTGGTCCATTTATGTGGAACAGATTATCCATGGAACTAAGACAAACAAGAACACTTGATAGCTTTTAAAGACATCTCAAGCATTTTCTGTTCCTACAGGCCTATCCTTCATAAGATTTTAGCGTTATTTTTTAAAATGATAGTGTTCTGTGCCTATGTCTGGATGAAAATAGTCCGTATGTGTGTGTGTATGTGTGTGTGTGTGTATGTATGTGTGTGTGTGTGTGTGTGTGTGTGTGTGTGTGTGTGTGTGTGTGTGTGTGCTTAAATATATATTGCTTGAGAATAAAGGAAGTAGTAAGAAAAGTTTTAAAAATGGATATTCCAATGTAAAGCGCATTGAGCTACTTTTTGGGAAATGTGCTATATAAATGTTATATATTATTATTATTATTATTATTTGGATCATCTTAAAAGCTTGTTCATTTTTCCTGCTCTTGATGACAAAATACTCATGCTATCTTAATAGTAGTCGAGAAATCTGGAGTTGAAGGAGGTGGCTGGTTGGCTAGTGTCAGCTGAGGTAAAATTGTGAGGCAGCGTTGTGGAATAGGGTCTCGTCAATTTTTGGACATGTAGAGTTATTGGTATCATCTTAAAGCGTATTCACTTGTCTTTATTTGGATGAATATAATACATTTATCTTGAATACAAGTCGAGATATTTGCGAAAAAAGAAGGTGGGGGTCATCTGTTTTCAGATGTAAAATTAGTGAAAAAATGGCCGCCAAAGATTTGTTATTCCCTTAGCTTAAGAGTCCATGGTAACTGAAAATTTACATTTTTGAGACTTTACTCAACGTTTTTTGGAAAAATCCCCACAGAAAATGAGTTCTTTAATGGGCATGAAAGGTGTTGAGCCAAAAAACAAAAAAAATGTTTAAAATTCACAAACCCTAAAAATAATGCAAGTTTCTTCACTTTGATTATTTTGACGAGAGCCTGATTCCACCACGTTGCCTCACATATTTTCTTTGTCTTTGATCCCTGTAAAAATGCACACAAAAAGGTGTATTTAAATGGACTTTAAACATGTTGAGCCTAAAAGGGAAAAAAAATTGATAAAAATTGCTGTTGTTCAAAAGAATTTGTGTTTCTTCGATTTCGTAATTCTATCGAGAGCCTAATTTCATGACAGTGTAGGGTGTCTTGAGTTTTTGTCTGGTTTTTTTATTTTGCCTTTTCAAAATCTGTTTTTGAGGAGAAGGAAAAAATACACTTACAAATGACGATGTTGGAATCTTTTCGTTGTTGCCAGTGTTCAGGACTGGGTGTTTGGTAGGTGCTCTAGTGCGATGTACGTGCTCTAGTGCGATGTACGTGCTTTTTTTGCTTGTTTTCTGAGCTACTGAAGTACTGGCAAGGTGTGATTGTAACGCGTTGTTGTCGGGTCAAGTTGAAGGAAATTTTGACTCCATTATCGAGATGTTCCTAAGAATGTGGAGAAAAGGAAAAGTATGAATCAGTTTGGGAAGTTGATTTCGGTTTAAGAAAATCATTTGTTTAACCCTATCCGTACGCCCTGGGGTCATCTTGTACCCCCGGGGTTGTATTCTACAAAATTTAGAATACTTCTAGTACGAAGATCTCCTTGAAGGTTTCATTATTTCTTTAAAAAATCATTTTGACAGACTGCTTTGCAAAGCGTACGAATCGGATTAACGAGCAAATTCTTTCTTTGGAAAGAGGTGGCCCAGAGTTCCCCATGTCGTATGGATATGATATTAAAACGCGACGTACGGATAAGGTTAAAGATGTTCAAAGTTTTTTTGTTCTTTGTGGGCTCTGTTTTAGTCACTCATCATATTGTCCGTAATGTTTTTAAGTTGAAATTCCTGAGGATTATTTATTTTTATTCTTTTAGCAAAGCGTTTTGGTTCTGGTTTCGCAATTCAAAATTTCAAATGGTTTAAAAAAGATGTTTTTACTGTTCAGTTGTTTACCTTCCTTTAGGGCTCGATCATAACTATGCTGCTCTTTCTATCCTCATTTGAAAGAAAGTCTGTTCCCTTTTTTTTAATGTTCAGTTCTTCAAGGTATTTAAAAGTTTGTAGGTTTCTCTGAGATCACATTAGATTTATCTATAGTATTAAGCCTATCATTTGCTTTCCTTTTGAAGGTTTTTAAAATTCATCATATTATGCTTTTAAAGAGAAGCTTCTTTTATTCTTTGTTTTTGTTATTTTTGAGGGATTTTTGAGGGTTTTTAAAATTCATTATTTTTC